CCGGTAGTGTACAGTGCAATATAAAATGAGCAAATTATATTAACAACATTTTTAAAAATGAGCTTTACTTAAAACTGTTGGAATAGTAACTAGCTTAAAATTTAAATACACGAACTTAATCTTGATATTAGATTTTTTTAAAATTTATTTTTATAAATAGATAAAAACATTTTTTTTTAACTCTAATTGTATTTGCATAATGTAATTGAAAAAAAGACTTGCAATGAAAACAAATTTAGACATATTATTAATTAAACAAAGAAAAGTTAGCTTTAACAATACAATGCAATAAAAAAAAGAATATTATTTACTCTTTTGTTTCCTCTATATTTTTAGATTAACCAATATCCAAATACGTATTTGGACTTAATGTAATAACGTGACACTTTGTTATTAATATTAGTTTTGACAAACGACTGCGGCTATTCTTTAGATATAACTTGAAAATACAATTCTGCAACGCAAGTCACTAAATGTCCGTCAGCTTCATCCCTCAAAAAGAACGATAGCGTTTTATATTTTACAATGCTTTGCAGACAATGAGGTTGCATTTGTATTTTTAGTCACCTTTAAAATTAAATTTAAAAAAGTTATGATTCTAATTCCTAGATCCCTATATACTTTTTTTCAGTTTTCTTCGATGTTCCTTAAAATTTACTTCATTAAAGCGTGAAGATAAATGAATTTAGAACCATTATTTTATAAAGGTTTCAATGTCACTAGGAATGTGTTGTTATAGTAAGACACACAGCTTAGGAACGTACACATTTTAATCACCATCGCTTTATCCTGTCCGTTTACTTAAGAGTACGAAAATACACGACCTTCGTTACCAGGAGCGTATAATCCCCAGGCTAAGGGCCGGAGTTAATATGAGGGGACCGACCATTGTATGAGGCGATACGTGATACCCTTCCAAGATTATGTGCAGCTAGCCTGTTAATTTTAGATATTCTGTCTTGAGACCCCTTTGATGTGAATATATCAATTTCCTTTAGGAGGTTTAATGTTCATTAACACTGGATTAATTAACAAAATTTCTCAACACTAAGATATTATTTATTTTAATAATATTTCTGACGACACTTTTCAACAGTTTCTAGACATTTACATTAAACTCGATATCTGAGATATCAGATTTTAATTAATTATACTACTGACACATTGTTCTCTATTGTCTCAAACGCTTAGTGATACAAATTGCTTAATGTTTTAAAGTCACTAATTTCAATATTTTTAAATTTCTTTAATATTTTCAATCCCCTTTTAAACTTAGCCTGCTAATAAACAGAGCCCGATTGTCTATTAAGAAATAATAACCTTTTATAATTCTTTGTAAATTAATTATAAACTATTTTAAATGAACCATCTTGTCCTTAGTACTTGAAATCTAAAATCCAATTACTTAGAACCAGCTACGATTTACCTCTACGTTCATTTAACTTTTGTTTACTAATTTCTGCGTAAAGTACTAGCTTTTGGATAATAGCTTAACGTTAAACTCCACATTATTTAATATATAATTCCCCCATTTATATGAACTTTTTTATGTATGCGCTGAGCAGACTAATATAAATTTTTAAAATATGGTGTTTTATAAGGAAACAACATTTTATCATCATTTATATTTTAGAATGCGCGAGAGAACTTTTAATTTTCTATTTTATACCCTCTACCTTTTTTTATATACTTTTTGTAGAATTTAATAATATCACGTACTATGAAAGACGGATTAAAAAAATTAAATGGGTTATAGAACAGCTACACAGTATATAGAATATTTCAAATATGATTGCATTTGCATATAAATAGCCACAACTAAAAATGTATGACATATATTTTGTTAAAATTTGGAGAACAAATATTAATTGAGTTTATTTAACTGGGACAGCTTGCGTAGGTATTCTAAAAAATAAATAAGAATAAAGAATAATAATACAACTTTAGAATAAATTTTATGTAACAAATTAAAATAACAAAACTAAAAAAGTCTACATTAAATTACAAAAATGAATTGTCGCTTAATAGTGATCTCTTCCAGAAAACCTTAAATACAATATAAGAGGGAAGGCGTCGTGCCTAATTTTTATAAATTCATGATTTGGAACAGTAGAGTAAAACAAAGAAGGAAATGTTACGTCAGTTGATTTTCGTATTCATATGGTACTTCCAAACTTTATGATTGTAGTCTGGTTTTCAATTAAATAAAACTAATATTTTCGGATAACTTAGCTTTTTTATTATTTTGAACTACGTTCCGTTTTGAACCGCGATCACGGTTGCTGCAAAGTAATCTATAGATTATAAAGAAATTCTGTACAATAAACATTTAATAGTTATATTGTGTATAAAGCCACCCGATAGACCATAAATGTCGCTATCGGTTGGTATCGATGTCTATTAATTTTAAACACTTAGGTAATGCATATCTACTTGAGCATTATTCAGAAGTCCAAAGGACGGAGTAATAGGCAAAAACAAATTTTATACAAAGTTTTGCTGAGCAATCTCTATGCGTTTGAACCTTTTCTGTTTTTATGTTGGAAAAACTAGAAAATGTTGGTACAAATTAGTTTCATAAATATTATAAATGTTGTAACGTGTAATACCTACCGCATTTTTATGATTAATAAATAACATGTTAAAATTCAATACGGGGATTTTATAAGGAAAGTTTGCTCGTTAGTTCTAACCAAGTTGAGGGCTACAGCCCAAGTTATAAGCCAACACAGCACATGTGGAAGTTGCTGCAATTACTTATTTTCACGACGTGCCTAATCATTTTAGTGCTCTTGCTTTTGAAAGTGTCATATATTTTATAACAATATTTTGCAGGTCCTATTTTATCTCGCAGTGATTATATAAAGCAAGGATAGTAAATTTATGGATATAATATTAAATAATAAAAACATATTATCAATAGTAATTTTATATGTCATAATATTTTATATTATGCGTAATTAAAGTTCTTTTCATTTGTAACAGATTTGGTCTTTTGCAAGGTAGTGACAATTAATTTTCTTATAAATGCCGTGGGAATAAAATAGTAAATGAAAAAGCTCTGAATATTTATGATAATTGAATAAATCAGGAAAAATATATGTGTTCATTACAAAAATATGTTTAAAATATTATTTATAAAATCATTATAAAGTGCTGGTCAGTTACAAAATCAAAGTAAACCTGATTTGACTATTTTGCAAACACATGTTTTGTTATTTAATTTAAAAAGGGATATTTTTCTGAATTTTAAAACTCAAATAAAATTTAAATTTGTAATGTAAATTAGGAATAAAATTTTATTTTATTATTTATTTTTTTATGGGAAAAGGGGGCAACCGAGCAGCCGGCCTACTTGATGGTAGGTAGTTACCGTCGCCCATTGACATCTGCAACGTAGATATGCAGATGTGTTGCCGCCCTTGTTAGGGGAAAATGGGGAGTAAAAGGTGGAAAAGGGAGGGAAAGGAAAGGGTGGGAAAAGGGAAAGGGCAACCGGCTCTCTCACTCACCGGACGAAACGCAGCCATTAAAAACTATTTCACGCTGATTTTCTGTGAGAGGGTGGTACTTCCCCGGTCGGACCAGCCCATGTTCGAGCTGTAGTAACCTGACCACAGCTAGGCTCTACCACCTCTAAGAATTTATTCGTATTAGGCTATAAGAATTTTTATTTGGTTATATTGATTATGAAAAGGGGCCTTATACACGAAATTTTGATTTTCAATGTTTAGGTGGTCAGTACAAAGATTGCGTTTTTTATTATTATACAAAAGAGAGACGTCTATGAATGATATAAACCGACAAAATTTTCAATTAATGCTAATGTAAAAAGATATATGTAAAGAAAATTGTATACAATTTTTAATATATAATTCCACTTCGTATATATAATTGCCTGATTTCATTTAAAATTTTGCTCTCTCATATTTCTTGTATAACTATTTTAAAGTGGAAACTAAAATAAAAGTAAGTTGATTCTTACTTATTTCTTTCGCAAAATGTTTTTTCATGTCAGTTATATTTTTGGAGCCGAATTGGAATTGTTAGTTTTGATTACTAAAAATATAATTTAGCTTCGAGGTTTAAATAACTTATAAACAGCTATTTATTATTAATTTACTAATGTTTTTAACTGTTCTGATAAAAGAAAAGCTGAATCGTTTTTATGTTAAAACATTTAATCAAATGAGCTATTTTAATGAAAACTCACTGAAATAAATACAACAAAACGACGAGTTTGTTGAACAATAATCCCCTTGAGAAGTTCCCAAACCAATATCCACTTACGGTCACAAAGTTTCTTTCGGCTCTAGAGCCTTGTTTGAGTCAAGCTGAGTCAGCCTGTTTTATTTTGTTCTCCTTGGATTTAAGGAATTAAAAATTTGAATAAAATTATTGCTTATAAATATAATTTTAAGTTAATAAACCTGGAGCAGGTAATTGCTAAAGTCGTTTGTGTAAAATGATATCAAAACGCTTGAACGAAATATATTGGACAATGTTTTAATTATAAATAAAACTGGACGTGATATTAAAAGAGCAAAAACACCTCAGTCGGCTGGAAGGTGAAAATATTGTAATAAATTGTATAAGCTTTAAAAAAATTGTCGATGTATCCGATTTTAATTTCACCTTTTAAAAAAATGATACTTTAAATGAAATAGCCTTATTTATAAAAATAAATATAAGATATTTTTTTGCTCTAGTTAACAAACATTTTCTCTCTAAATATCGTTCTGTTATGAGCCTCAGGGTTGAAGGGTTTTTAAAAAAAAGATTTAGTGTGAAAAATAGACACGACCGTTTTTAATGGATGATGGATTGAGACTGAAATGTGTGATGGATGGCTGAGCGGGGCAAGGAGAAGGAATGCTGATGAGGCAGGAATGATCTATAGAGTCAGCAGAAAAGGGTGCATTTGGGGATATGTAACAGCTCCCCGGGGAAGACTAAACATCGGGGTTGAAATACGATGTTTAGGGAAAAGAGAAGGAGAACTATATATTTCTTCTTAAAGAAGGAGCTGGGATATCTCTGGATTCAGAACGACTATCGTTGTTTCTGGTAGAAGAGATTATTTCAGGGGTAGGTATTTCTGCTGGTGGGGTTGATGAGTCTTCTGGAACGGGTATAGAAGGTCTCAGGAAAGCAAAAGGAAAACGGCCAGTCGATTTAATATAAAGATAAAGTTTAGAAATACAAAATAAAAGAATGATACAAATTATAATTATTAACAAAATAGAATAATGAGTCTCATATTGAATTATAGGATGTTGATCTAAAATTTTATCTGCCTCAGATGAAATTGAATTTAATTTAGATTTCGATTCTTTTGTAAAGATATCAAGGTCAATGTTATTTAATTCGATAGGAGACTCTTTCTTAATCTTAAATCTAAAGTTGTCTAGAATACAGCAAGAGTCATTAATTATATTAAAATCGGATGTTATGGAGGTTACATTAATTGCAAAATTGTTAAATTTGGGTATCAATTTAGTAGATTTACAATATGCCACACAATTGATAGGAACATTTAAAATACCTGTTCCCATAATATTTATTTCAATTATATTTTTATCTTGACATTCTATATAAAGTTTATTAGCTTGCGACTGCACAAAAATCCAATTATTATTAGAGAGCGGTTTCCACAGGTCAATATTTCCGTAAATAAATTGCGTTTTACACTGTTTTGGCAGGGAATTAACAACTTTGGACATAATTTCACTTTCACAACTGGGGTTTGCACTCGTAGAGAACACAGTCATCACGTCACAGATGAATTCACGGTGATTTATCGCTTTACACTCTTTGAGTGATTCTAGGTTGCAGTATTCTGACTTATCCTTGGTCATTGCTACATATTTCGTATTTGGTATTATAAAACTAAAAGAATTTGGATTTACATTTTGATAAGGAGTAGGCAAAGCAATTGTATGAAATAGATTATATTCCTTAGGGGAAACTAGAGGTAATCTTAAAACAAACATAATTTTATTATTTAAACTATAACAAACTACATTAGAAATATTCATTAATACATGAATTTGACTTATCGTTAAGCTTACAGGTAATTTATAATCTACGCGTAAGTACCTGTAGTTATCAACAAGTTCCTGGTATAATTGCGATGGACGCAGAATTGATGGATGAAGAATGTTTTTGCTAGTGAGAACAATTGCATTTGTTATGTCTTGTATTTGAAATGATAAGGTGAGAATTGATGCTTCTAAGCTATTGAGGATAGAATGAATATTATTTTCTATATCAAAAATATTTGAAAGAGTAGTAATATTATTTAAAGAAATAGAGAATTTGTTGATAGCTTCATTGAGTACAATTTGATTAAGCTTAATTCTATGTAAAGTATCGTTAAATACACTTAGAGAAGAAGTAGTAATTAATACATTTTGCTTAATTAAAGATGTTATTCTCTTTTCGTTGTCTTGGATGTTTCGAATGGCATTATCATATATAATAGCATCGTTTTCATCTAAAGTCCCAAAAATTGTTTTTGCCAAGGTTCCGACGCCTCCTATCCAGGCTCGTTTAACTCTTTTATTACTTATTAAATGGGTAATAGAAGAATATTCGGAAACCATATCATTGTATCTAATTGTAAGTGGTTCTAGAACATTGTTACATTCCAAATTATTATTCGAAGTTTCGCTTATAAATTGTTTACATAAGTGGCGAGTTGTATTTAAAATGGAATTAATGTTTTTAATATGAGGTTCAATATGAGAAATGTCTATCGGGGTTACAATGTCTAAATGACCTATATTAATTTTAAGTTCGCCGATTTGGTCAAAATATATGCCAGGACTCGAGTTGATTTCGTGAACATACTCTTGACAATAACCTTGAGCCAGAATGCTGTAATAAGAGATACATTAAAATTATTTATTCATAATAATAATTATTGAATATAACTTAGTCTATACAAAAAAGAATAAAAATAATATTTTAAGTAGAAGGGGATATTTGAACATCAACGTGTTTGACTTCATCGTAATGATGTCTTACATGTCGTCTATTTATTAGTAATGATAAAGTATGATTCCCGTGTATTTTGACCACTTTGTATGGGCCTTTCCACAAGGGTGATAAGGCTTTTCGCAGCCTGAGATGGTTTTTTAACATAACGTAATCGCCTACTTTGTAAGTTGCTGGACGACTGTGAGAGTCGTAATAAGTTTTGGATCTTAGTTTAGATTTGTGTATAAATTCAAGAGCTTTTTCACGAGAGTGTTTCATTCTATGCTGAAGCATTTTAACATATTCAGGATAAGTTACCGTAGAGTTGTCGTCATATAAAGAGTCTGGAATTCGTGGTTTATGTCCAAATAATAATTCATAAGGAGAATAATGTGTTGTGGAATGAATTGAGGTATTGTAGGCTAACATCGCGGTGTATACATAACGAGGCCAATTGTCTTGATTTTCATTGACGTATGTTTTTAGATATTCTTTTAGGGTAGAGTGTGACCTCTCTAAGGCACCTTGTGTTTGCGGATGATATGGCGACGACCACAACTGTTTAATTTTAAGGAATTCACATGTCTTCTTGAATAGTTCCGCTGTGAAATTGGTTCCTTGATCCGTGAGTATGTGTTTGGGAATACCAAACATAGATATGAAGTGTACGAGGCATTCACTGGATTCTTCTGCAGTATTACAACGGATAGGATATGCTAAGGAATATTTAGTAAGATCGTCCTGCATTGTTAAAATAAATTTGAGTCGAGCAGTACCAGATTCAGGTAAGGGACCTACGATATCCATTGAGAGTTTTTCGAAAGGACTTGTGGAGGTCGATGTTATTATCATAGGCGCTCGGTTTGTTCGACGTAAGGCTTTATTGGATTGGCATGACTGACATTTACGGATATAATTTTCAACATCGTTTCTCATATTTTTCCAATAAAATCGTTCACGTATACGGTTATACATTCTAAGGTTACCTAAATGACCTGCGATAGGAAGGTCATGATTTTCTTTAAGGATTTTTGGGATTTCACTAGGGGAAGGGTAAATTATATTATCATGGTAAATATGGATTTTGATGTTAGTTCCGTCGAATAAGTAGCCTAACATATTATATATTTTTACAAAAGAATGTTTATCGAATGGATTTTTAAAATCTGATATGCCGACGTCGTTGATTGTTGGGTAAGTCATCAATATTTGGTCGCGGGAGAATTTTAAGGATTTGTATATATCTGGATAAGAAAATTTGTCAAAGTGATGTACTTTAGTAAATAAGAAGAGATAGTGTTTATTATCGAATGTGAGAGGTAATGAAGTGAATAAGTCTCTTTCCAGTTTCAAGAATTCGTCGCGAGTACTTTCGGGGCAATTATCAAGTACTTCTTGTACATAAGGCATAGATTCATCTAAGTCTATCGAAGTTGGTATTATTATTAAATTTTGTGTGCATTTTAGTAAGCTTTCATTGTGTTCTTTAATCGTGGTATTATATGTTCTTGTAGGGGACTTAAGAAAATGACTATAGTCATCGTCAGGCGATTTATCCTGGTTTTCAGTGGATTGAATTGTTTTGGAATTTGATTCAGCGGGTAGAGGTAAGTTTTCGTTAGGAGAATGTAGATTTTTAGACGGTAAGGATTGTTGAGGTCTACGATTCGTAGATACTGGTAAAGTGTCAAGATTTTGGCTGTTAGTTGAAGGTTGTGGATCAGGTTCGACATTGACAGGTGTATCGTTATTGAGAGAACTAAAATAATCTAAAACTTCTTGTTCCATTTCAGGGTTAAGAAGGTTTTCAACAGCAGAAGGTGGGGACATTAAAAGACTTTGTAATTCATCCATGATGTCGGGTGAATTTTGATTTTGTTGTTGTTGTATAGGGTTTGTATTATTTTCAGGATATACAGGATTCACGGGATATCTCGAAAGAGCATCTGCGGCAGAGTTTAATTTTCCTTTGCGGTATTGAATGTCATAATCAAATTCTTCTAACTTTAGACGCCACCGTTGTAGCTTACTTCCTGGATCTTTATGGTTAAATAACCATTTTAAAGGTCTGTGGTCTGTAATTATTATGAATTTATGACCATAAAGGTAGGGTCGAAAGGTTTTACATCCAAATAAAATGGCTAATAATTCCTTTTCAGTAGTGTTGTAATTAATTTCGTTTTTATTAAGAGTTCGAGAGGCATAAGCTATTGGTTGTTCTTTATTCGGATCTCCTTGGGAGAGGATGGCGCTGATAGCATAATTAGAAGCATCACATGTGAGTGTGAATGGTTTTGTAAAATCTGGGTATATAAGAAGAGGAGGTGAAATAAGACGAGATTTTAGGTTTTCGAAGGCTAGTTGGTGTTCATTATGCCAAATAAAGGGAATATCTTTCTTTAAAAGCGTTGTTAATGGTTTGGCTGTTTGTGAAAAATCGGGAATAAACTTTCTATAATACGACATTAGGCCTAGGAATGATTTCACATCTTTAGGACATTTTGGAATTGGAAAACTAGACACAGCTTTGATTTTTTCAGGGTCAGGTTTCACACCTTTATCTGTAATAAGATGACCAAGATAAGAAACTTCTTTTCTAAGAAACTCGCATTTGTCAGGCTGAAGTTTGAGATTGTGTTTTCTGAGACGGTTAAATATTAACTCAAGATTTTTAATATGTGAATTGAGGTCATACGAATATATTACTATGTCATCTAAATAGACAAAACATCTGGTGCCTTGGAGTCCTGTGAGGACTGTGTTCATTAGTCTTTGGAATGTAGATGGTGCATTTTTTAAACCAAAAGGCATCCGTTGAAATTCGAAATGTCCTTGAGGAACATTAAATGCTGTTTTTGCTGCATCTTTTGATGCCATTTTAATTTGATGAAATCCGGATGCTAGATCGAGAGTTGAGAAATATTTGGATTTACCCAGTTGATCTAGTATTTCGTTAATGTTAGGTATTGGGTATGAATCTCCAATTGTAACATCGTTGAGGCGTCTATAATCAATAACAACTCTCCATTTCCGCTGTCCAGAAGCATCTAGCTTCTTTGGAACAACCCAAATGGGAGCAGACCACGGGGACATAGAAGGTTTTATGATTCCGTCTTTTAACATTTTGTTAACTTGATTTTGAACTTCTTGTTTGTGACATTCAGGAAAACGATAGGACTTTACGTGTATTGGCTCATTGTTAGTTGTATTGATTTCATGTTCCAGCGTGCTGGTAAAAGATAAGGGATCTCCAGATAAATAAAAGATATCTGAGTAATTCGAGCAAATCTCGAAGAGAGCATTGGCTTCTTCGTTATTTAAATGTGAAGTTCTTAATTGATTTAGAACTTCCTGGGTACGTGTAAGTGAGTCATAAGATTGTACGGTATTTATAGAATATTCAGGGGACCTATTTTCTGTAATAGTGTTGGAGTTGGTTGAAATTAGGGTTAAGAATAGATTGGAATTAAGTGATTTAGGATTTTCAGATAAATTGACAACGGATATATTAATCCTATTGTTATCTTTTACTTTCACTAGACAGTTAGCTATAAGGATGTCCTTGAATTGGTTTTGATCTAATATGAGCCCTTCTTTTATTTCGGGGTTTGAAACAGAGCATTCTATGATCATTTCGGATCTAGCAGGTATAGTATAGATTGGTTCATTAAAATACATCGGTATCTGAATTCCATTTATTTGGAGTTTATTTGTAGTATAATTAATATTGGAACCGAATGAATTGAGCATGTCTGTTCCAATGATCCCGTCATAAGGTAAATGTATTTTATTTATAACATGAAATTTATGACTCACATATTTGTTTAAAGAGTCGGATAAATATAATTTTAAGGGAAAATGACCACAAGTTTTTGTAGAGCTTTTATCGGGTTCAATCCCTTTTAAATCTATTTGTTCTTTTATTAATTTTACAGGTTTCTGAATACAAGAGGATTTAATTAAACTAATTGCTGAGCCAGAGTCTATTAGCAAAGTTAAAGGAATTTCAGAAATGGATGAATTGATAATGACATGAGGGAGAAGTACTTTAGTTGGATCTGTCGTGATCTCGAAGATTTTTGTTTCATTATGAGAAACGGATACAGAGGATTTTGGCAGATCAACATTTTGCTGTTGCTGCACGGATACAGTGGACTTTGGCAGACGAACATTTTGCTGTTGCTGCACGGATACAGTGGATTTTGGCAGACGAACATTTTGCTGTTGCTGCACGGATACAGTGGATTTTGGCAGACGAACATTTTGCTGTCTCTGCACGGATACAGTGGATTTTGGCGAATCATATAACGATGCCGGTGAGATAGTATTCGGATTGCCATGTAGCGGAATCGGTTTAGATTTTGGGGTGCCGATTTTTGGCTTGTGCAGTCCCGTTCGGCACAGGGACGAGACTCTTACTCGTTTTTTGGTAAAGTATCCACAGTATCGTAACCTTTTTCATCATTAAGATCTTCATTAGGTATTTCGTCATTAAATTCTTCAGTTATAAAATTCATATTAGGCATAGTTTGAATGGGAATTCTTATATTTTGGGTTTGTTGGGGATTTCTGAACCGTTGGTTATTAAATATACGTTTGCGGCATTGTTCCAGGGTGTGCCCGGGAGATTTGCAGTATCTACAAATTATGTTTTTGGGATCATTTAAATTATGCTGGCGATTAAGATTTGAAGTTGTTTGATTTGGGTAGGAAACATAGTGACGATTTGGAATTCTATTGTTGTTTTGAACATTTGTTTTAAAGTTATAAAATTTATTAAGACGGATGTTATCGTTTGTGTTGTAAGTTATGTTTTTACTAAGAGATTGCTGAATTTTTTCTTCACTGATAGCTGCGTTTATTGCGTCATTTAAGGTTTTAACTGATTTACATCGTACTATGTTCGAGATACGCGGTGTCAACCCCATTTGGAAGTGATGGAGGGCTAATTCTTCCATTGCTGCTGTGCGTCCTATCATTTCTCGGCTTTTGTTTCCATGTGTGATCGAAATTTCTGTTAGTAACGATGAAAGGCAAGTTTCTACTCTTAGGGCATATTGACTAACTGGTTCATTTGATTTCTGTTTGCATTCTTGCAGTTCGGTTAATAGGTGAGCGTAATGTTTACGGACACTGAATTGGGTTTTAAGGAATTCTTTCAATTGTTGCCAATTAGTGAATTCCTTGATGGAGCAGGCGGTTTCAGCTTTCCCTTCTAATTGACATAGTATAAATTTGAAAAGGATATCTTTCTGGGTTTCTGATGCTAATTCATACGCGTTATTACAATTAATTATAAATGAGTTTAATGTATCCCTCCGGCCATCATAGGGCTTAATAAATTTTAGTAGGATTGAGAGCTCTAATTCGGGTTTAGTTACCGGTGTTTTTCTTTTGGACGTGGACCTAGTTGATGGTCCTGAAGGAGGGGGGCAAAGACTTTCCCTATCGTCCTCTGTGTCAGTTACAGCTATTTCCGGTCTTTCATTTTTTGGGCTTTGTGATCTACTTTCGGCCATTTTTTATACACCCAAAACACAGAAAATATTTTACAGTACGACAAAACAACAAAAAGAAATTCTAAATACAATATAAAATACAAACAGACAGTATAAAGCACTATATAAAATGCAATACAACTAGACAAATCACTAATATAAAGGTTTGAACAATAATAGAGTATAATATTAAGACAATGACCAAGAGATAAGGCTTTCACTTACAGAGCGATAACAGGCAGGATCATGTTTCTTGAATTCTTCAACAAATACCGGAGCTATGTTTCTCGACGCGTCGAATTCGGTGAATTGAGTATATTTATTATCTTTTATTGGCAAAAATTGAATATTTTATTCAATATTTTGTAATTTAAATTGCCAGGATGTAGAAATAGTTTATATATATGAGAGTTCTTTTCACAATTATCACTTTTTCACTGAATTTAACACTTTCAATAATGAAGAGACGTTTCCGGGGACTCTTTGAATCTCTTTACGCTGCCACCAAAATGTTATGAGCCTCAGGGTTGAAGGGTTTTTAAAAAAAAGATTTAGTGTGAAAAATAGACACGACCGTTTTTAATGGATGATGGATTGAGACTGAAATGTGTGATGGATGGCTGAGCGGGGCAAGGAGAAGGAATGCTGATGAGGCAGGAATGATCTATAGAGTCAGCAGAAAAGGGTGCATTTGGGGATATGTAACAGTTCGTGTAATTGAATTTTAGACAATTTGAACTTGAATTTTGATTAAAAATATCGAATAAAGAACTACGGAATAAATAATGTCTTGTTCTAGGTATTTAGTTGTTTAGTAAAACTACGATTCGGTAAAACAGTTAGAACTCAATATTCCGGTGTTTTCAGATTCGAATCCTAATTGGGTTTGATGAATTTTCATTATATATTTTGTTAATTAAAATTTAATTAATTGTGCACTGTTTGTAGCAATTAATCGACGGTACCTTATACTCATATAAAATGCACTATGGTCTCATGAAAGATAAGTCGAATGCTTATGCTTTCCCACCTTATCGCATTCTGCTATGTACCATGGGTGAGTTTTGCCAACAATGAGTAGGTTGGCGAAGTGAATAAATTATTCCATGCCCTTGAGCATCACATCAATCATAGCCTCCGCGCACCTTAATGGATCTCCTGCAGAAAAGCAAAACCCATCGCCAAGTATACGATGCAAAGAAATGTGACACTTCATTCCAATCTGCTGACTTGTAACGTCACATTACCGTTCATCGTGAAGTTCGTGATCGTGCAGAAGTTATAGCGATACAGATCTAACCAGACAGGGGTCGTAACTGCCTACTGGGAATGAAACTTTGATGGTGTATCTGTTTG